CAGAGCTTCATTCTTTTCTGAAAGCTCTAGGGGAGAATCATTTACCTTGCCTTTTCTGTCTTCTAGAGACCACTCACTTTCCTTATGGCCCTTTCCTCTATCTTCAAAGCAAACAAAGAGGGTCTAGTCCTTTTCACATCACACTACTCTCACCTTTTTTTTGTAGTCAAATCTCCCACTGACCACGACCAGGAAAAGTTCTTCATCTTTAAGGATTCATGCAGTTGGTTGGGCACACCTGGATAATCCAGGGAAATCTCCCCATCTCTCAAAGTCTTTAATTTTAAGGGCATCTGCAAAGTCCCTTTTGCCAAGTAAGAAAACATATTTACATGTTCCCAAGATAGAATACAGGCACTTTTGGGAGCCATTATTCTTCCTACCACAGATGCAAACATTAATAATGAATAAGCTGTAGTGGTTATCAGACAATTGCACATGCAGCATTCATCAAAACAGACCATAAATTGTACCATATAAAATTTCCAAAAGTTCCAATAAATTTTAAAAGATTAACTCATCTGGAGTATGTCCTTTGACCATAAAGGTATGAAATTAGAACTCAGTAATAGAAAGATTTGAAAATAACAGGGAAATTATAAAATATTTTGCACTGAGTGAAAATGAAAATAAAATTTCCAGTGCTTAGTGATAACTCTAGAGCTTTTAAGCGCTTATATTTAAGGATCAGAAAGGTCTAATGTCAATAGTGTAAGCTTCCATATTAGGAAGTTAGTAAAATAAAAAACATTGAAACAAAAATAGGGAGAAAAAGGAAAAAAAACATGAGAGGATATTGATGAAATAGAAAATGAACAAACAATAGAGAAAAATCAATGACACCAGAAGCTGGTTGTTTGAAATTATTATAAAGACAGATAAATCTATAGCTAGACTGATTTAAAAAATACACAAATTACCAAAATCAAGAATGAAAAAGGTGACATCACTACACAGCCTACAGACATTAAAACACTAATAGAAAATGACTTCATGCCAACAACTTTGACAACTCAGGTGAAATCTCCTTTCTGACACACTCCTTTGATTACATTAGATCATGCAGATAATCCAGGATAATCTTCCCATTTCAAGATCCTTAACTTAGTTACACATTAAAAGTCACTTTTGCCTTGTAAGGTAATGTATTCATAGGTTTTGGAGATTAAGACATACACATTTTTGGAGATAATTTGGCCTACCAGGGACACAAATGACCAAAATGTAACACAAATAAATAGAATATTTCAGTAACACCGTATCTGTTAAAGAACTTGAATTTGTAGTTAAAAATGTTCCCATAAAACAACCCCCTGGCTGACGTGGCTTCAATGATTAATTCTGTCAAACATTTAGGGAAGAAATGAACTTTGACTCTTTATACCAAACACAAAAATTACCCTGAAATGGATCATAGACCTAAACATAAAAGCAAAAACAATACAATTTCTAGAGGCAAGTGTAGGAGAATGTGGTTTTGGTTTTGAGATAGGCAAAGAATTTTTAAATATGACACAAAGAGTATGAACTATAAAAGGAAAAAATGTTAATTTTTTCTTAATCAAAATATAAACCTTTGCTCTTCAAAAGACAATGACAAGCTCTGACCAATGTGGCTCAGTTAGTTGTGCATCATGATGCAAAGCAAAGTGTTGCTGGTTTGACTTTCTGTCAGGCACAGGTCTGGGTTGAGGGCTTGGTCCCCAGATGGGAGCATGTGAGAGGCAACTAATCAATGTTTCTCATATCGATGTTTCTCTCCCTCTCTTTCTTGCTTCCCCTCTCTAAAAAAGTAAACAAAATCTTTTTTAAAAAGACAATGTCAAGAAAATAAAAAGGCAAGCTACTGACTGCAATGTATATAACTGACCAAGACTGCTTTCCAGGATATATAAAGTATTCTTACGGCTCAATAAGAAAAAACCAATTCAAAAGAAACAGTGGGCAAAGAAGATACAGAAATGGCTAATAAGCATGTGAGAAAATGCTGGGCACCATTAGTCATCAGGGAAACACTTGTGGAAGCCATATTAATATACTACTACTTAGTCGAGTTGATAAAAATCAAAAAGTTTTAAAATAACAAGCATTAGCAAGAGTAGGAAACACTTGAACCTCTCATTCATTGATGGTGAGAATAAAAGATAGAATAACCACTTTAGAAAATAATTTTGTAGTTTCTCATTAAGTTATATATAGATATACTTTGTATATGACTCCACAATTCCAACTCTAGGTTTTTCTCCAGTTGAAACATGAAAACACATGTCCACATAAAACATAAAACAAGATATATGAGAACATATGTCCACACAAAATCTTGCCCACTAATGATTATAGCAGTTTTATTCAAATAACCAAAACCTGAACAATCAAAAAGTCCATCAGCTAGCAAATAGATAACTTATGGTATATACATACCATAGAATATTACTCAGAAATAAAAAGTAACAAACTAATGACACCTATAATAGAATAGATGAACCTCAAAAGCATTAGGCTGAGCAAAAAAAGAAAGACACAAAAGAATATATTTTCTATGATTAACATTTATATAAAATCCTAAAACAGGCAAAACTTATTTATCTTGTCAGAAAGCAGATCAGCAGTTGACTAGGTCAGAGCAGTCGACTGCAAAGGAACATGAGGCTACTTTTTGAAGTGATGAAAATTTCAACTACATGGGTGTATATACTTGTCAAAATTCATCAAACTGTGCACTTAAAGTAGGTGTATATTATTACATGTAAATTGTAATTCAACAAAGTTGATTACTCAGATAAAAGAAAAAAACAGTTAAAAAATGAAAACACTTGGGCCCCATCAAAGTAAGACTAATATGAGGACCTGAAATCTTCATTTTAAGCAAGTCCCATGGGTAATTATGCTGCAGGCTTTTTCACTTTAGAAATAATATTGGTCTCTATGAGTACCCAACTCTTGGACAACAAATCAACCAAGCAAGCAAAGACAATTCAGAAGAAAAGTGTTTGAGTTTTGTGTGCCCTCATTCCATCCCCCAACCTCCACTCTTCAGCTGGAATATTGATTACTACTAAAGTATCCTCTTGGGTGCTCTATTCTCTCAATTGTTGGCTCAGCTGTAGATAAACTTTCTTCACTTATTCTTTACAAAAGGAAGTTTGCTAGGAAAATAAATAGGAGAAAATAAAAATAAAAACACATAACAAGGGAAAGAAACCAATATATTTTCAGAGCACAGATCATTTCCCATAAGGTCATTGAAGTCTGCTGCCAGACAAGCTTGGCTGGCCCAGGCCACTGGACACATGGTATCTATAGACATGCTTACCCTGGGGAACAGCAGGCAGCCAGGCAGCCTGATGGAAAAAAAAGAACAATACTACAATAGATATGCTAAGAGCACTCAAAGCCCAGAGGAAAGGGTCATTTCCCTGACAAATTAAACCACAGTGCTCTATTTTCATCCTTAGTCTTTTCTTCTGTCTGACATAGGTTATGGCCCCCTGTTCAGTTTACCTCTTGAAATCCTTTTCATCCTTCATGGCCCAGCCTGAATGATACCTCCTCCTTACCAGGTTCCCATAGTCAACTCTTCTTCCCTGGAACTCCTATGGCACTTGGCCTGAAGAGCTCTTACAGAAATTTTGATTTCTATTTTAGTCATTATATGCATACCTTATCTACTCTACCAGATTGTAATCTTGTTGATTATAGAAACTATTATTATCTATGCTAGGGGTAGCCTACACACTACCTAGTACATTACTTAGAACTTAGTGGGTGTTTTACTGTAGAAATTAATGAATGATTCAGTCCATGCTCATTTATACCTCTGAGCTTTTGCTTACGCTGTTTCCCTTTCCTGGAAAATCCTTCCCCTTAAAGCATTATTTCCTCCAATGAGCCTCCCCAGATCCCCCAGCTGTTGGGCTCCTATAGCACCCTGGGCATATCCCTATCTTATCACGTACAACCACCACCTTATATTAAAATTAAATATTTATTACTTGTTTCATCTACTTAACCATAAGCTTAAAGAAGCCAAAGATTCCATTCTAGTCATCCTCATGTTACCACCACCTAGCCCGGTGTTGGGTAGTAGTATGTACTTTATTTCTGGTTTTCAAATCTTTATATGATCCCTGCAGAAGTTTCTGGAAGCATTAGCTCATGACACAGAGGGCCTGGTTAATTTACTGTGTGCTACCATTGGAGTGGGCAAAACTGTCCTGAGCTTCAATTCCCAGAGAAAACCCAGCATAAACAACCTTGCCATTCTAAGTTCCCTCTTGGCTGAATGAAGGAGTAGGGCTAGGTGTTCTCCGAGGTCCCTTATAGTCCTATGATTCTTGACTTCCAGGGAATTCCCCAGCAAAATAGGTTGTTGAGTAGAAAAAAGGCAAGTGTGGCCTGTTCTCAGAAGGCCTTTAAGATGGACCCCCCTCCTCTGGGATGGCTGGACATAAGGAAAAGAATTCAAGGCCCTTTCAGAGTACCCATGACTTCCTCTTTTTAAACACATCTCTCTCTCCTTTTGCCACCTTCCCTTTTTCTGCTTCCTCATTCTCTCAGCCTCTCCTTCTTCTTTTCCTCCTTTCCTATCGGCTTGTCTTCTTCTACCCGTCCCACTGCACTTTCCAGCACCTCTAGTTCTGCCTCTCGCGCTTTCCATCTCTCTCCAGATTTATCTTACCCATCTTGGCTCTCCTTCGTCTATCCTCTCCCCTGCCCACTCTCTCAGTCGTCTCCTACCCCTCCCTCCTGTCAGCCCTGCAGGAAGCCGAGACTCCTCACGAAGCCCTGAGGTGGGAGGGTGGGTGGGCCTGGCGCCGCGGGCCCGCCCCTCAGTGCGTGTGTGGATGTGTGGCGGTGACGCGGCGCCGGCCACGGGGAGGGAGGCTGGGCCCGCCGGAGAGGGAAGCGGGCGCATCGCTGGGGCTGCTCCGCTCCTGCGCGCCCTCGCGCTCCTTGCCGCCCGCCGAGGCGCGGGCAGGGCGCGGGTGGCCGCGGGCGGCATGGAGAGCCTGCTGGAGAATCCGGTGCGTGCCGTGCTCTACCTCAAGGAGCTCACGGCTATCGTGCAGAACCAGCAGAGCCTCATCCACACCCAGCGCCAGCGTATCGACGAGCTGGAGCGGCGGCTGGACGAGCTAAGCGCCGAAAACCGCAGCCTGTGGGAGCACCAGCAGCTGCTGCAAGCCCAGCCTCCGCCCGGGCTCGTCCCCCCGTCGCCAGCCCCGCTGCCGGCTATCCCGGCCGCCGCCGCCGCCGCCGCCGCCGTGGCCCAGGAACCGCTCCAGAACCACGGACAGCTCCTGTCCTCCGCGCCACAGACCGCGCCGGAGCAGCCGCCGCTTCAGCACCACGGACAGTTCCTGGCGCAGCCCCCACCGGGCCCCAGCAGCAGGGCGCACGCACCCCCGTCACCCCACCAGCACCCCGTGGTGCCAGGGGCCGTCGCCAACAAGGAAAAGGAGCGTTCCCCGAGTTGTTGCGCTGCCGCTGGAACCCTCCTTCAGCACAAATCCCCCGCTGCCCTCGGCAAGGGCGTCCTGAGCAGGAGAACTGAGTGAGTGTGGAAGAGGGGATGCGGAATGGTGTGGTGGGAGAAAGGGGAGCAAATGAGTATGAGGGGGAGACAAGCGGGAAATCGGGTGCACCTAAGAGTCTGAAGGACTGGGGTAATGGGAAGTGAAGGGGTGAGAGGATGTTTGGGGGGAAAAGTGTGTCAAGGAGATTTGGGCGAAAGGAGGGAATGGTATCAGTGTTTGGGAGGGTTTAGGGGGTTGTTGGAGCAAAAGAGAATATCCAGATCACCACTGGGGGCAAGGGAGGAAAGAAATTGGGTTCAAGTGACTAGGGGTGTTGGAAACTAGCAGTTTTTAACGGGAATAAGACTGAGAGGAACTTGGGGTGAAGATTAAGCTGAAGAAAAGAGAACAGTTGTATAATGTATTTAAGTTAGGAAAATCTTGGAAGAGAGTTTGGGTAGTAAATTATTTGAATGGAGAGTAAGAGAGGTAAAAGACACAGGCTTGGCAAACAGGCATGTTAAGAATTTTAAGAGAACTGGGGTCCAGGAAGTGTAGTGTAGGGGTCTGAGGGAATTCAGGAGGCAGAGGATAAGGCTGAAAAGCAGGAATGATGTGAAAGTCGGTGAGGGGGCTGGAGACAGAAGAAGATGAAGGGTGAGAGAAAGCATTTCCCAGAGGAATGAGCTGGCTTTTTAATTGATGCAGTGGGAGTCAAAGCCAGGAGTAGCTCATTTGGGGAAGGTTACTCTGCTCTGACCTCACTGGGTGCCTTTCTTGTGAACCTCTACAGAACCAAAGGGGAGCAAGGTAACCCATCAAGTCAACGGGGGGCTGAATTACAGTGTGAGGACTCAGTGTGGTTATAGCTTTCCCTCTGACTCAAGGAGGATTTCTGTGCAGGGTGGTTGGCAATCATGGAACAGGAACAATAATAAGAGAGACAGTTAGCAAACAGAGTTGGTATTTGAATGTAATTCTTGTTTAAATCTCTCTGTCATAGCTAGTGACTGCAAACCTTGTTTCCCTTTGGCTTTTTGGTGATGACTGAAATCTCACATTGAGCCCTGAGAGAAATATGCTCATTAACTCCCCCCGCTGGGGGACTCCTGGACCTTGGGCTCTTTCTTCACACCCAATACCCATGAACTAGGAATATGGGAAGAAGAAATGAAAGGGGACTGGAATATTCTCTCCTCTGTATTGGGGAAGCTGTGATCATGTCAGCTGCCGTTCTCTGATTGGACAGGTGATGGAAAAACACATGGAAGAACATTGGGCGGGGGAGGAGGGTGGTGGGATCAGCACCTGGCTAGCACCTAACACTGCCTGATAGTGATGATGTTAAAGGAGTTGGCTGGAGGGAGGAGAGAGGGAGGAAAGCCAAGAATCTCATCTTTATCCAGTCTTGGTATGCTTTAGGTCTGGGAATACTTGTGAGGATTTGATACATTTCTTAAAAACTCATTTGCTCCTCATACCTACTGTAGAGTTAGAGAAGTTGGCGCAGGACATATCAGGTCCCAGGATTGATTTGACCACGAGGTGAGATCTAATGGGGAAAGATCTAGGATGATCTTTCTTGGCAGACCTAAAGCATTTGATTCAAGCCCCAAGAAGATGCAGTTCTCTACCCCAGCTCCCTTCGTGGTCCATTTGTCCTTCCTTCAGTTCCACAATTTCCTTTCCTTATCTAACATAAAAAGCAGAAAGTCAGTTTTCCTTCATGCCCATAGCTCATCAAAATATCCAAGACGTTATGTGGCTTTTCCCCAAATAGGGTAAAAAAAACTGTTCCATCCCCTTTCCCTGGGGCAGCCACAGCTTCTTGATAATGATGTTCTTCACCTGATTCCTCTCCTCATGACTTTTGTCTCCTCCTTCTCTTCCACTGCGCCCCACTTTCTTTGCATCCCTGTGTGGGCAAAAGGGGTTGAGAAAAGATATTTTTCTTGGATAATAACTTTGCTGTGGCCCCCAAAGTAGCTTAGAGAGCCCAAAATCCCTTGCTGGGAATTCAGAGATTTAGGAATCACCTGGATTCCATCCAGCCTCACATGGCAAAACCAAAGAGGATACGTCATTTTTTCTTCTCCCTTGTCTTGCTTCTGCTTCCCAAAAAAGAAGAACAAAAATAAAGAAATAATTAGAATGGTGGGGGAGAGTAGAAATTGTTGGAAATCTTTCACTGAGGAAGTTGTGCCAGGCACTAAAAGGTTAATACCACTGGTAGCTCCCTCATTTTCCCAGATCTTCCAGCTTTTTGTCCTGCTCCCCAAGTCTGAACACCCAGAGTCCTAAGGAGCTTGGGCATGGACATGTATGCCTCACCTCCTCCCTCTGGCTCTCTCTCCCCTTAGATGTGAAATCATGGGCATGTCAGCTTGCTAAATGCCTTTGGAACACCCATTTCTCCCCACTGGTTTGCCTAACTTCAACCCCATTTTCCTCCACAGCACCTCAGGAAAGAATCATCTTTGCTGACTACATGTTTGGTCCCAACCTGCTCTCTACACATGACCCCCATTTTGCATGTCTGTCCTCATATATATACGTCTCAGTGGTGCAGGGCTAGATCCAGCCAGCAGGCAGGGAGAGATCTCCATGGATCGGGTGAGGTGAGGAGAACAAGAACAGAACCAGCAGCTCTCTCCCTGGCGTTTCTCCTGGGGAACTCCCTGCTGAATCAGTTCTCCACTGGGGGTGCTGAAGTAGAAGGAAGAAATGGCAGAGGGGGTCTTCGGATTATAATTTTTCTGAAATCTTTCCTCATTTCTTACTTCTCCTTCTTTGGCCTCATTATAGTGAGGATCTGGCCCTGGTGAGTTTGCTGAGGGCTGCGTGAGGGTTGCCAGAGGCTAGGCCCTGTGTTAAATGCCTTATCTCATCACACAGTTTGTCTCATCACCAGAATTCTTCTTGCTCAAATCCAGGAGAAGCAGAAGCCCTGGGGAACCTGGGACTGGGAAATAATGGATTGTTTAATTGTCATCAGATCTGCATTAATATGCAGGTTGGTCTCTCTACCTCTTTCAGTTGAAGGAGATAGAAAGGTGGCGGCCTTGGAGATCAGGCCAAGGAAGAAACAACCTGGGGATGGGTGAGTGCAGAGACATCATGGAAAAAGAGACTCAAGGGGTTAAAATTCTTTTTCTGCATGCGTCCTGGCTCTTGCTAAGCTCCAGCCCCCACTGCTTTTGCCTCTTAATGAAAGCAGCAATCATAGCTTCCTCCTCTTTATTTTTTCAATCAAGGCTCACCGCATCTACAGAATTGATTATCTCTTCCTGGCTGGAGCCAGAGTCTCATCCTGACCTGGCAAATATCCTCCTTGCCACGGAAACACATGGTCTTACCTGAAGCGACTGGCTTCAGTGTGACCATATCTTCTCTGTTTGAGCACGGGTTTGCCTCGCCACCCAACTATGCATTTAGGGCTTCTGGATCCCAGAGCTTGCCCATGTCTCTAAGCCCATGAGCAGAGGATTATTGGAGGCTGGGTAAGATATCTGCATTATAATTCAAATTAACTTCCCATTCCAAACTCCCTACCTCCAAGTGGTCATGAAGTTTGAATGTCTCAGTAGTTCTTGTCCTCTTTTCTCTTCCTTCCTCCCTTGTAAGAAGTATATGATATACTTCCTTTTATATACTTCCTTCTATATACTTCTTCCTCACTATTTCTCCTTTCTCTTTTTTATTCCCTCTCTCTTTTCCCTTTCTTCCCTTCCCTCACATACTTTCTCTCTCCCATTTTTCTTCTTTCTATACTTTGCTTCTACTAGCTACATAGGAAAATTTCCTCCTCTCTACTCCCATCCTCTCAGCATAAAATAAATCTTGGGTCATCTTTTGGGCTCTGTGGTCTCATCCTGACTGAAAGCTGGAGGATTTTTAGAAGACCATTAGATGTGCTTTCTACCCTGTTATCTAAGGTGCTGGTTGGAGTGGGTGTCTCTGCTTGAAGGTGCAGCTCATGACTGGCCCCTCCTGGGAGTTATTGAAAGAGTATGATGGTCTGTCAGTCAGTCAATCTCTATTGTGTCAACCATCCAGTCCATTCAAAACCCTCCACTCTGAGCTGTGGAAAGAGGAAATAAGCAAACAGTCCTGGTTCAACATACAGGAGACACATCTGGGAACATCTGAACAAGTGTATGTAGATTGCAGCTGCCTAGAGCTACCCTCTATCAGAACAGAATGGTGAAAGGGGCGAGCCTACAAATCACATTCAGACCCCAGGGAAGTTTTTCTTGGTTGGAGTCAAGGGTTTATGTCAGGAACAGTAAGAGTCAAGGATAGCTGGGTAGAGAACAAAGTCAAGAAGATTCAATGCATGGAGGAGATATCTGTATTGCATCTGCATGTCGTCCCGTCCTCTGCAGTACAATCCTCCACTACCCTAATCCCCTCCCACTAGGCCAAACCCTATCAACAGGGTAAGAAGAGCTCCAGTACTCAAGGTCCATGTCTATCTCATGCTTAGAAGGCCTGGTTGCTGAGGAAACAACATTATAGCCAGTGATCCCCCACTTACCTATCCTCCTTCTCTTCTTCTACCAACAGCAAGGAGAGGACTTCTAGCCGGTGAGCTGGAAAATGGGGCCAGAATGAAGGCTCACTGAGAGGAGGGAGTGTGTATCATTTTGCTCACCTGGAAGCTGACATGGAGTGGGCACTTGTAAAGATTTGCTGTCCAGCTCCCTTTGAAGGACCCAGACTGCTGCTCTTCCCTCTCATGCATCCACAAAGAACACAATTTAAGAGAAACAAATCACTCCTGGCTTCTGGGAAATGCTGACGGCCTTCCTCCTTGTTACCAGCCCCCTTTGCCTTGCTCCACCCCTGCTCTTTCCTTTCTTATTCCTGAGCCCTGCCCAAACCCACACAGTCAATACCATAGGGCCTCAAGAAGGCATCTGGGAACATTTTCGTTTTCCCTTTATTGATTTGAGAGAGAGAGAGAGAGAGAGAGAGAGAGAGAGAGAGAGAAAAGGGGGGGATAGAGAGAGAGAAATATTGATGTTTATTGTTCCAC